GAACTGTCCGATAGCAGTGGCAGCCACGGCTGCTTTGTATGCTGCTTTTGCCGGCGAGCTGACAACAGTCAGGATGGCCGAGTGGTCTAAGGCGCTGCGTTCAGGTCGCAGTCTACTCTGTAGGCGTGGGTTCGAATCCCACTTCTGACAAGATTTTTTTTTTTTCTTATTTTGAAGATTATTTTTTTTATAAACATCTTTTTTTTTTTAATTTACCTTTAGTCATGAAAAATTTTAAATTATGTTATTTATCATATATATGCAAAGCATTTTACCTAAAAGCAAATTTGTTCGCATATGTCTTTCTGTGGTTTGTTTTCGCTTTTATTTCTGATTGTGAGTGGGTGTCATCTGTATGGCTGATGGAAAACAGCAGCTAGCACCACCATAACACCACAGCACTGCTGGAATCATTCATTAATGCGCATTGCCTGTCGTCTGCACAGTTGTTTTTGTTACTTTTTTTTATTGAACTAAACTTTGTTTTCGCAAAGCCATTTAAAGTGCCAAAATCAATTAGTAGCTGTTTTTGGCTGCCGTGTTTAACAATTTAATTACGCTTTTTATTTATGCTCACTCATTTATCAATGCCTCAGATCTGTCTGCCCTTATTCACGCCAGAAGTTTTATGTTGATTTTTATGCGCATCCTATTGATTTGCAATTAAACAAAAGCCAGACAGCTTYTCCRACTTGTATACAATTTACATTTGCTTTGTATTTATGAATATTATCATCTATGTGTGTGTGTGTGTTATAAATATTTGAGAATTGGATTCGTGAATACGCTCGCTATAATCATAAACTCAATGTGCAACTTACAGAAAACGCAACTCATGCGCCTGCCCATCCCAATGGAGTGGGGGGGTTCGGGCAAGCGGTCCGTTCCGTCAGAATCTCGTGCGGCAGATAAGCAACGGAAGCTGCGGTTAGTTGCCGCTGAAGGCGAGGCTATGTGGATGTGGATATGGGATGTTGGATCTTGGATGCTGACGACGTTAGCTGTTGGGCTTTTGGTTGGCGTCGGCGTTCGTTGGTGTCTCAAATTCCTGCAAGTCAATCAACCCGTCAGTTTCTCTTGTAGTTTTGTTATTTCAGTGTGTGTTATTTTTGTTTTTTTTTTTGCTTCTTTTGACCAGGCGACCGACCGACCGACCGACCGAATGTTCCGTACAATTTATTTTGGCGCTGGCGTTGTTGTATTTATAGCCACATGGAGCACACATAAAATTTGAACGTAAGATTTCGTAATTGCAAAGCACGCAACAAAATATATAGGAAATGCGCTTTGGCAAGTGTGGCGACAACAGGCACGACGGCTGCGGAAACACTTGACTGGCTTAACTACGACTACTGGAGGATTCACTAGCAATTTGCTATAGTTTAGCAGCGATAAGACGCTCAAGCGCTGCAACACAATAATACAGCACGTAGCTGACTGAACACAGCTGTAATTTTCCGTTAAAACAATTTTCGAACCGTCGCGTTGCGCTTTGCGCTGTTGACTGCAGCGGCAGCAGAAGCAAAGCAAGCAGCAAACAACCTCAAAGTAAGCCGATGGCAAAGCGTCACAGAGAGTGCAGATTCTGCAGAGCAGTGAGCCTCAGTCACTCTTACTCTCGCGCTCTCTCACTCGCTGGTGACGTCACAGCAGGCAGCTTTTGAGCGTGTGTAGCGCGTTTCCAGGCACACACACGCAACTGTGACGTTACTATCTGCGCTTTGTATCACCTTCTCAGAGCTCGACACCATGTAATGATCGCCACAGAAAGAGAGAGCGCAAGCACAGCACACATACGTACATGAGTGAGAGAGGAAGAGCAAAAGAGAGGGGGCGCGTGAGAGCGTGTAAACAGCATTTGCTTGCTGTGTGGTGCGCCATAAAGTTTTGTTTTTATTTCGTGTCTTTTTATTTGTCTTGGCTTCTTCACTTCACACACCAATACACTGATACACTGACATAAAGGCAGCGTCAATCTCGCATGCGTGGGCAGCACTCACAGACGCACACACACTCACACATACATAAACGGCGCTCATATGTCAAAGCTTTGACTGCACGTGCAGTGCGAACTTTCAAAGCGCAAAAACCATAAACAAAACTACAATCAACAAAAAAAATAAACAGCGAAAAAAGTGTCAGGAGAATGAGAAGAAGAAGAAAAAATGCTAAACTGCATGGCTAATTAAATTTCTATTAGCCAAGCGGCAAAACCAAGGCAAAACAAAACCAAAAGCAAAAACAACCGTTTAAACATGTTTTCAAATTGATTTCAGCTCGCTTTCTTTGTGCCCGAGAGCTCGCGCTTAAACATTACGTATACGCCCCCATAATCGCCCAGATGGTGAGTGTGTGTGAGTGTGTCTGTTATGAAAAGAGCACAGAACAAGCAAAACAGCTGGAACAATGAAACCTGTTAATTAAGTTTGCTCAAATTTGGTATAAAATGTCGCGACTGTGCGCTAAGAGAAAACCAACTTAGAATATTTATAGTCTGTATATCTGTTTATGCGAGTCTGCATATACTATATATACATAGCTCCAAAGCAATTGATTAATGCTCCCAGAACTAAAAGTGCTCTTTTAATTGTTTGTCTGCCAGCTTTAGGTCTGCTTTTGGCTACTATTCCAAACTTTGAACTTGAAAGAGTCTGTTCACTTTTGCTCTTTGACTGTTAGGCGGGTGCTGACTGAGCGAATAACTCATAAATCATTGCAAATATTCAACAAATAAGCGATGCTATGATTAGATAAGAGATCTGTGAGTTTCGAATATATTGTTTATTAGTAATAAATATGCATTAAATTCGGATCTTGGTTAAGTTTTGCAAGAGTAAAGTAAGGGGGGAAGATGTTAAAATTGTGTATAGTAAAAATAAATAAATCTTATTAATGAGAGCAAAAAAAAAAAACACACATGATTTTCTGTCAGTTTAAGAGTTATGAATGATAAATTCAATTACGATTATACCATGCTCCACTTGGCACATTTTCTCACATGGTAAACGTACAGCAACAACTTCTTTGACTCCTCAACTCTCAAGCCAATCGAAGATTCTCTCAGAGTGCATCTTGATACATTGTCTTGAGCCAAGTTATCAAAGAGTTAAACAACTTTGCAAGTTAGCCAGAAAAGTGCTTGMAAGCCCTTCAATGTCTTCTTTGAATGCTGATGTTTAAGAACTTTTGCCGTTAACATATTGTACAATTGTTATTGTTATGGTTGTTGACCCAGTTAACTGGCCATTGTAATGCTAATTTACAAGCAGCAGCTGCCGTGTTTGGCTGCACCCACTGCTACTGCCTGGTGCCTGGTGCCTGATGCCTGCTGCAATTGGAAGTGGGGCATGCAGCAGTTACTGCCACTGCCACTGCAACTGCAGCTGCCGCGCCCCGTTGCGCTTTTTATGTGTGTATAATATTTATGCTTTTTATATACATATTGTGTCAAGCTGACAGTAGCATAAATTTTGATTGATGACTTTTGATTGACATTCGGGCAATTTGCTAATTTTATTTCAACTGCTTTTGCTTTTGCTATTGCGCTCTATTAGACGATGCCACAAAGGCATAGGAAATGGGTCAGTTGTCTAAGAACTTTGTCTACCATTAATCACAATGAATTTATGCTCATACACATGCATACACATGTATGTTTGTCTGTGGACATAACATGATGGCTCTGCAAAGTAATCATGCGAATTAATGGATATTATGAATTGTAGAGTAGAGTTGGGCTCAGTGGAGT